CCGGCAACATATCAAGACTCCTTCTCAAAAAAAAGTTACGACCTCATTGGAAACATTTAAATTCTGAGTGGATTTGATAATCTTAAGGTATTAATTGTTAACTCTCTAGGTGTAGTCATGGTACTGTGGTTTTAAGAGCCCTTATGTTTTAGAGAAACATACTGAAATATGTACAGATGAAACCCATCTGGATTTGTTTCCAAGTTATCCAGGTAGATAAGGGGATGGGGTTAGCATAGATGAGGCAGGACTAGCTGTGAATTGTAAACTGTCCAAGCTGGGTGATGTAGGGTTCGTTTCACTCCTCTCTCTACTGTTGTATACATTTGAAATTTTCTGTAAAAACATTCTGGCCCTTGAATAATACAGGTCCTACCCTGGGCCTCATAATTCCCAATCAGAAATCACCAGAGGCATTTTGAGCTGTGCCCTGTTAATCTCTTGTTACCTTTCAAAACAGGGACTCTGGCCACATTTGTTTTGCCTAGAGCAGAAAAAATTCATAGACAGGAAAGAAATATGCCTTGGTTTTACCTAGAAAAACAAACCGTGAGAGGCACATGGTCCTCCTGTGTCACAGCCATGGGAGGAGTCCCACCAACTAGAGAAGCAAAGTCAAAACTCAGAAGAGCAAAGGCAAATTCTTACGGTAGCTGGAATAAATGCTTCATTAGGAAGAGTCACTCCCAGTGGAGGATTTCTGGCAGTGCAGCCCTTGGCACGAGTGTGAAAGCTGAGACTGACTCGAAAAAGTGCAGCCCAGGGTGTAGTGGCCAGCATGAGGCCAGCACTATGCAGCCACATGTCACGGCTCAGGGAACAGAAAGGGCTGCTGTCGTCACCTCTGATATTGGTTGTCCCGGTGTCCACCCTCAAGGCACCTCTGTCTCTCACACGCCCCAAAGACAGTAGGCTGCTCTGACAGTGTCCCCAGCTGTGCAAGGCCAGGACAAACACTAGCCATTCCATGCTGGGGGAGGGGCCTAGGAATGTCCTTGGCTGGCCATCTCCCAGGCTACAGGGCAGAATCAGATTTCCTTTTCAATGGGTGGCCCCACACAGAACCCATCTGCACACAGGTAAGCTAGTAAGCTAGAAAGCTAGGAGGGTATGCTTTGAACCTGGGCAAGTGATCTCACCTTTCCTCCTCTTTTTTGAGGAGAAGAAATATACAAGGGAATTAAGGCAGGTGTGCACTTCCTCGGGAAAGGAACAAGCACGAAACAGGTGTTGAGAATCCAGCTTAGGAATCCAGCTTACGATTCTCAACACCTGTTTCATGCTTGTTCCTTTGCCGAGGCCATCCTAAGCTGGATTCTCAATACCTGTTCGAGGCACGATGGGACGTCCAGGGATGGATGAGCTATGGTCTTTGCCTTCAAGGAGAGCAATGGGGAGGCAGGAAATTCCAGGTGCACAAAATCTCCTAGAAAAACACTGAAGGACACAGAAGTCCTGTGAGCCAAGTAAGGTAACTGTTACTTAGCCAAAGTCAAACTTTGGTCAAATCACTTAAATCTCCATTTTTTACCTATAAAATGGTACAATTCTTGCCTTGCTTACCCTATAAGGTTACGGAGTTATAAGGATCAAAGCTACGACCAGAAAATAACAATAATGAGGAGAAGGAGGAGGCAGAGACAAGGCTTTCTTGACCTTGCTGCCCTACAGACCTGTGACTGGCGCCTAAGGACGAGCTCCTCTGGGGTTGGCAGCCAGGACCAGGGCAGGTTCCTAATGTAGGTGGCTGTCCGCTCCCAGCCAGTCCTGGAGCACTGGTGCCCTGTGCCCTCATTCCTGAAGCTGGTTCTCCTGGGCACCTCGTCACATGTCCAGGAGCTGCCTTGGCATGAGCAGCTTCTCCGACTCATTCAAACTTGCCTGATAGATGGTGAAGGTGATTAGTTATAGCATTTTTTTTCTTTTTTTGAGACGGAGTCTTACTCTGTTGCCAGACTGGAATGCAATGGCATGATCTCAGCTCACTGCCACCTCCACCTCCCAGGTTCAAGCGATTCTCCTGCCTCAGCCTCCCAAGTAGCTGGGACTACAGGTGTGCACCATCACACTGGTTTTTTAATATTTCAGTAGAGACAGGGTTTCAACATGTTGGCTAGGATGGTCTCAATCTCCTGACCTCATGATCTGCCCACCTCAGTCTCCCAAAATGCTGGGTTTACAGGCGTAAGCCACTATGCCCAGCCCCTAGTATTCTTAATAAATATCGGAGCTTAAGAGCCAGAAGGAAACTTCCAGAACATAGTATCCACACATATCCCATCCCACCACCCCTATCTCCACTGTTTGTACGAAGGACAATGGAGGCTCCAGCAGGGAACATGACCCACGGAGGTGTTGGGCCAGCTGGGGCTGGAATCTCATTCTCTGGACCCCCCGATCCACCATAGCTGCTTCTCTTTCCAAGAAAGGTTTTGCCAACACCAACTCTGTTGCCTTTAATATCCTTAGTCTTTCCTGCCCCCAAATACCTCATTTGGTCCTAACTTCCAAAAAAGAGTATTTAGGGCAAGAGAAAAAGGAAACATTCCCCGAGTCACATTTTCCCAAGCCCTCTTTTTCTTTCATTCTCTGGGAGAATGTTTCCTAAATGCCCATGAGGCATGTGACCTTACTTACAACATGGGTTCACAGAGATGAAAATAAGGGGTACCTGTCTTCTAGAGGCTCTTGTGTAGCTATCACTAAAATGCCCTCTTGACGAAACCTTTTGAACTTGCACTAGGGGAAAAGAAAGCCCTTCTAATGCAGTTCCCTTTAGTCACGTGCGCAAGGAAAAAGCTTCTCACTGCTGCATTCTTTACTTCCTGAGTTGTTCTGTTCATGTCTGGCTGGCAGCTTCCGCCCTGCTGGCTGTGGGCCCAGGCAGTAATGTGAGCACAGAAAAGGCTGGCGGCCTCACTTAGGGAGTCTTACCCTGTGCTGTGTCTCTTCCTGACCCCGGGGGTCTACATGAGGCCGCATAGTTGCTTCATTCTGCTCCCTGCATTTGGTTTGGCCTCCAGCTGAATAACTGTCTTACTCCAGTTTGGCCCTGGAGTGCTGTCTTTGATGTACTCCAGCCTCCCTCTTTTCTAGTTGCCATCTTGGTGTAGTTGAGTTGCTTTGGGGCCTTGAAAATAAGAATAGTAGCCAGGCACGGTGGTTCACACCTGTAATCCCAGCACTTTGGAAGACCAAGGCAGGTGGATCACCTGAGGTCGGGAGTTCGAGACCAGCCTGACCAACATGGAGAAACCCGTCTCTACTAATACAAAATTAGCTGGGTGTGGTGGCGTGTGCCTGTAATCCCAGCTACTCAGGAGGTTGAGGCAGGAGAATTGCTTGAACCCAGGAGGCAGAGGTTGCAGGAAGCTGAGATTGCACCATTGCACTCCAGCCTGGGCAACAAGAGCGGAACACCATCTAAAAAAAAAAAGAAAGAAAGAAAATAAGAATAGTATAGCTCAGTGGAGACTCTGGTATGCCCAAGTGAGAAGACTGGTGTCCAGTGAAAGGTTGGACTGGAGGTTCTGCAATTCCGTCATGCTCTAACATTTCTGAAAATGCATAGCAGAAGGTTGACAGCCTGAAAAATCGGTAGGGTTCCAATGTGTGTGTCTGGACCTAGAAGTAAGAACTAAGCCTGGGACCAATGCCTCACAGCATTTTAAATGAACCTGGGTGCCAAGTATTACTTCTGATTCTTCCCACTCTCAGATATGGTCCCCTAGTTAGAGAAAATGATGTAGGGGGTTCTGTGGGGTGAATATGACATTTACACTCTTGTGAAACAGTGCGGTAGTTTAGGGAAGAATTCCCAGAAGAGGTGGTGTTCCTTTCCCCTTTTCTCTATTTAACCCCCTTCCTTGTGTCAAAATACTGATGAACAGACCCCCGATGGTAAAACTGGATCCTCAACTCTGATAGGGCCCACCAGACCCCTGGGTCCGCCCTAAGGAGCCGTGACACGCCAATTCTTGGCTTTTCTGGAAGAACCTTGGCCTGAAAATCTGTTTAATTACCATGGAGATAATCTTTTAAACATAGATTTACATTCTTTAAAGACCACATAGGATGTTTATTTTCGTTTCCAGTGGAGGAACTGCTGTCTGGTAGTTAGCAAGAAGCTTGAGCCCTGGAGGAATTACTTTTTTAAAAGTCTGTTCCTCTTCACTGATAGTGTGTCAATTATATTATAATAATTAGTTTATAGTGTGGTCATATTTCCACCCACCCCCACCCCCGGCCTAAACCCTGCACTTCACTCTGTGATTCCAGGCCTATAATTATTTGACATTTTTTAAGCACCCCTATCAGTTTGGGTTCTATACTTACTCTACACGTGAGTATCAAGAGTCAATGTCCTCAGGCGTTTCTCATCAGGAAGGCCATCCTTGCAAAGCCAGCAGCCACAAAGACCTATTTAGGTTGGTGCAAAAGTAATTACGGGTTTTGCATGAAAGGAATGGCAAAAACCGCAATTATTTTTGCACCAACATAATACTTGGCGCTGTGGTTAGTAAGATGCTAATTTCTCCCACTTGAGGTGGCCCGGCAAATTTGCTAAATTCTCCCCTGCTAGAAGGCCAGCTTGGATGAGCAGGGGTTCTGTTGCATAAAACCTGGCAGCTCCAAGACCCAGAGTGATTCCTGGCTCATGATAGGTGCTCACTAAGCACATGCTGAATTGCTGCAAGTCAACAGGTCTTCACTTGTGTGTCAAATAAGAACAATGTACAAAATAAAGCAGAGTCTGGTGGGTTCCCAGCTCTGGCTTGAGCAGCTCTAGTCCTTGTTCCCCACATCACTTAGGAGCAGCTGGCCCTGAGTGGTTGCTGGGTCTGATTCTGGAGGCTGAGACTGTGGGCCTTGAAGATTTACCTCTGGGGATTCAGAAAAGTGGGGAAAAAGAGTAATTGTATTGAACAGAGAATTAGAAGGTAAGTAAAAACCCTTTGTGAGAAACTCACTAAGTCTTGAGCTTGGATCTCTGTGTCCAGGTCCTGATGGGGAGAACACCTGGTCCAAGAAATACCCATCGTGTGGGGGCCTGTTGCAGTCCCCCATAGACCTGCACAGCGACATCCTCCAGTATGACGCCAGCCTCACGCCCCTCACGTTCCAAGGCTACAATCTGTCTGCCAATGAGCAGTTTCTCCTGACCAACAATGGCCATTCAGGTGAGGGGGAGGAGTCGGAGACCTGGGGGGTATGGCTGAGCCTCCTTCGGCTTCCAGGCCTGCCCTTTTCCATCTGGCAGGAAGAGGTTCTGCCAAGGCACCCGGGAGAAGGGATGGGGCGGGAGCGCCTTTGAGAGATTCCTGGAGCACTCTCTCCAGAGGATGCTGGAAGCCCTGGGCTCCCACGGTCCTGCCAGGGCTGCACTTCCCAGAGGCAGCACATCTCTCAGGATGGGGCAGGAGACAAGCTGAGCCCTGCGGTTCTCTGGCTGTGCAGCTGGAGTGAATTCCGGACCATCATAAACAACTCAAGGAACCACACAGTTTTGGGGGGTGGGAGGGCACCCAGGCTTTGGAGTCCGACCAACCTAGATTTGAACCCTGGCTTGACTGCTTATGAGCCATGAGACTCTAGGTGAGAATTTTAGCCTCTTTCAGCTTCCATCTGGAAATGGACATATTGATGGGTACCGTGAAGGCTGGAGATTATGTATGTTGGGGTCTGGCATATAGGGTGAAGTAAATGCTTCATAAATAGCAGTTATTGTTGTTGTTATGTAATTTTAAAGCTTGGAAGGTACTTCACTAAAGGCTCCAGGTGTCTGATCCATCATGGTGTAAATAAACACCCATCCATTGGTCTAGGATTAGTGTTTCTGGCATCATTTTCCAAGGAGAACCAAGAAGATGCTGGTGCCACCGGAGTTGCTTTGGGGAAAAGGGGACATTCTCAGGGAAAGAGCCCAGGTGTCTGACCTCCAGGCTGCATCTCTGCTCTGCACCTTGCTCCATCCAGCTGTCTCTCTCTGGGGTCCAGAGGGTGGGGGCAGGGGTGGAGGGAGTGTTGCCTGCATGACTGCTCTCTGGCACCGCACAGCTGGCCAGGGCTCTGAAGGCTGTTCCTCCACTCCCCGCAGTGAAGCTGACCCTGCCCTCGCACATGCACATCCAGGGGCTCCAGTCTCGCTACAATGCCACACAGCTGCACCTGCACTGGGGGAACCCGAAGGACCCGCATGGCTCTGAGCACACCATCAGCGGAAAGCACTTCGCCGCCGAGGTAAGTATGGCTGCCATTTGGCAGAGGCTGCTCTGCAGTGGGTGGTGTGGCACCCTCTCCACCTGGCTGCTGTGCAGATAACATCAGAGCATGGGACAGGCTGCCTTCAGGCTCTCTGCCTCACCTCTGGCCCTGGCACAGGGGGGTGCCGCCACTCCACCAGCCTGCAGCTCATCTGCATATCCTGGTCCCTTGCTTCTCCTAAACATGCTGAGTTTGTCTCTGTGACTTTTACTGAGTGATGATGCCGGGGAGGCAGTGTTCCCAGCAGGACATACATGCCCTTCTTTTAGACATTGACTTCTTGTCTGTGCAGACAGAAATCTCCTGCTGACTCACACTGAGCTCATTGCTCCCCAGAACTTCTCAGCCTTTCTTCCTGTGTCACGCTCTCTGCATCTTTTTGATGCTGTCTTTCCTTTCTTTGAGTATGGGTTGTGTTTAGAACACGGGGACATGGTCTAGGGCCACTCTCCCACCTGCTGCAAGTCTAGGGATGCCTGGCCGTCCAACGTGCAGGACATCATGGCAAGCAGACTCACGAGGGATGGGATGTCAGCCAGCACAGCATCTTGTCATGTCACCTTGAGGTGCTACTGCAAAATGACAGAAGAAAATTAGAGGAGGGCAGAGCATTTGTCCCTAGGCAATTGTGGGATGGGGTGGGTCGAGGAGAGGGTTGAGATGCTTCACTCTGGCACTCCCATAGCCCTGAAGTGGAGGCGTGGCTCTGAATGTTTACAGGGAAATACAAGGAGGTAAAGGCTGCTGACTGATCAGCCAGGGGAGTCCATGGCAAATAGTGATGTGACCGTTCCCTGCCTTTCGCGACTGCTGAACTGCTTAATGTCTCAGGCTAATCACAGGTCTACTTCCAAGCCTGGAAGGGATAGGATCTGGCTCAATAGGATGGCACCACTGGAGGTTCACATATTTCAGAGCAGCCCCTTCCCTGAAGCTCAAGAACTGAAATTTCCTCGAGGCTACCAAATTGCAGTGTTGAGACCTCTGCTTCCCCCATAGGGAATAAAGAAGTTGTAAACCAAAAAGTGTCTGAGACTGGTCTCAGTCCATTTAGAAGTTTATTTTGCCAAGGTTAAGGACACATGCATGGGAGACAGAAAAGTCTGTGCCTTTCTCCAAAGATGATAGTGAGGGCTTCAATATTTAAAGGGGAAAGGACAGATGTTGGGGAAAGAGGGAGAAATGTTTAAAAGGTGTGGGGAGGCAAAAGTCAGGAGGTGCTTCTGAGTCTTTGATCAGTGTTCACATGTGAGAGAGGAGTAGAGGAATAGTCACGTGTGCATTCAGATAGCTCAGCGAATCTGCATTCTTACAAGATAAAATGGACATGGGCAGAGAAAGCAATTAGATATGAATTTGTCTCAGGTGAGCAGAGGGATGACTTTGAGTTCTGTCCTTTGTCCTGATCCTGTGAAGATAAGTTACCAATTTACATTGTTTGGGTGAAATTCAACAGAACAGTTATAGTGTAAACACCTTGGGGCCCGCAGTGAATTTCCTCGTGGGCAAAATGTGAGGGAGATGTGTAGCTTTTTTTTTTTTTTTTTTTTTAAATCTTTGTAGCCGTCTTATTTAGGAATAGAAAGAGAGGCAGGTTTGCCTGATGCAGTTCCCAGCTTGACTTTTCCCTTTGGCTTAGTGATTTTGGGGTTTTAAGATTTATTTTCCTTTCACAAAGGAGGTTAGGGTGTAGGTTGGCAGGGTTTGTGTATTTAAAAATATTTCTACTTCTTGTATTTTCTGCTATTAAGTCACATCATCAGACCAAGGGTCTGGTTAAGATGGACCATAAATGCCAATACTAGAGAAAAGACATCAAGGTGCCCCTAAAGTGGGTCCTCTAAGAAAGGTCCTTGGGAGTGTAGTGGTTCTTTTGGATGGAGTCCATATAAGATTCTATCTTAATCTCCACAACAGGGAGTTCCTTTATGCTTGGATTTGTCTTCACTTCCCCTGAACCCAATAACAAAAGTACTTAGACAAACCACAAGTTCAAAGGTCAGCTGTAAAAAGAAATAGGGACTTAGGACCTCAGGGGTTTTAATCATATCGAAGTCAGCTTTATTTCTCAAAGTGATGCCAAGCCAAGACGGGGTGGGCAGTGTGGCAGACTAAGTCCTTTGAGGGGAAGATAGTGAAGCAGGAGGCCTGAAGAAATCCTTCACAGAGGACCACTTAAAAGAAATAGGCCAGGTACAGTGGCTCAGGCCTGTAATCCCAGCACTTTGGGAGGCTGAGGCAGGCAGATCACCTGAGGTTGGGAGTTCGAGATGAGCCTGACCAACACAGAGAAACCCTGTCTCTACTAAAAATACAAAATTAGCTGGGCATGGTGGCACACACCTGTAATCCCAGCTACTCGGGAGGTGAGGCAGGAGAATCACTTGAACCCAGAAGGAGGAGGTTGTGATGGGCCTAGATCGTGCCACTGCACTCCAGCCTGGGCAACAAGAGCAAAACTCTGTCTCAAAAAAANATTTGATTGCCATATGTATATATATATATATATTTTTTTTTTTTAAATTAGAAGGAGCCATTTAAAGTTCAAAATGGGGAAATTAAGCTGTATTCAATAACATAGGTTTGAATTGTATTTATAAACATATGAGATGGAAAAGGATGAATGAAAAGAGAAAAGAAATAGAGATAAAATCTCAATATGTCATAGTCTCAAGGACAAAGAACCAACAAAAATGCATGTGTTGTGTAAACCAAAATAAATCTAAGCCCCCCACCCTTCCCCCAGCCATCTGAATAGACCCCTCCTGTTGGCCAAGGGCATTCCAAAGTTAACATGAAAACTAGTTCAGGCCATGATGGGAAGACGGAGTTGGACATGACTCAGGATACCCTCCTCCCTTTTGGAATTCAGAAAAAGCTCACCAGCATCAACATCAACATAGACCTTAGATCTGATAAGAAATATTTACAGTCTCTTCTCTCTGAAGGGTGTTACTTGGAGGCTTCATCTGCATGATAAAATCTTGGTCTCTTATCGGAGCTCAGACATTCCTTTCTATTGATAGTAACTCTCAACCAGTTGCCAGTCAGAAAAAATGGAAATCTATGTCCTGGAAGCCTCCATTTCAAGTCATCCTGCCCTTCCAGATCAAACCAGTGTGTATTGCATGTACGATTGATGTATTATGTCTCTAAAATGCATCAAAGGAAGCTGTGCCCTGACCACCTTGGGCACATGTCCTTATCCTTGGCAAAATAAGAGGAGGATCTGAGAGACCTAAGCTAGTTTGGGGGGCTAAGGGGCTGGGGTTCTGTCCTCCCAGTTGGATTCAAGTCTTCTGCAGAAGTGACAGGCTCTCATGAGTTGCTTATCTCCTGATAACATGCCTGCAGGACCCCTCATTTTCTTTTTCTCCACTGCAGCTGCACATCGTTCATTATAACTCAGACCTGTATCCCAATGCCAGCAGTGCCAGCAACAAGTCAGAAGGCCTCGCTGTCCTAGCTGTTCTCATTGAGGTAAGAGATATTGAAAAGGTTCTCATGTCAAATTTGAAGCAGGGATGAGATTGGGATTCCACCTTTGGTTCCATGCACACCTGTTGGTAATCTGCTGCTCCTGTATCAGCTCTATGTCAACTCCAGAGCAGGGGGTATCCCCCTCTAGTGCCCCTTCTCTCTTTGCCTGGAGGCGGCACTTTTCTGTGGCTGGGCAGCAGCAATGGGGAATGTTCTTTGGTCCATTAGAAAAATGAGCCTTAACGTCTCGCCCTGTTGCATAAGGCATGGAATTGCCCAGCTGGGGAGGACCTGTGCTGGAAAGGGATCATCATACTCCATCTGCCCCATCGGATGCCTGAACCCTTGATACAACTCCTGCTATCCAAGCTTCATCCTGTAGATCAGTGGTCCCTAGTCTTTTTGGCATCAGGAACCAGTTTCATAGAAGACAGTTTTTCCACCGACCAGGGAGCAGGGAGGTGGGGTTTGCTCTCCTATGAGACTTGAATGCCTCTGCTGCTTTGCCAGAAGGCGGAGCTCAGGCAGTAATGCTTGCTTGCCTACTGCTCACCTCCTGCTGTGAGGCCCAGTTCTTAACAGACCACAGACCAGTACCACTCCACAGCCTGGGGGTTGGGGACCCCTGCTGTATATGAACTCTGGAATGGATTCTTTCTTTATCCCAAAAAACACTGATGTCTTCTGATTGGCTTGCATGCTTTTTTCCTAATGAGGCAGCATGTAGCTCATTTCCCAACGTGCTCATTTGTCTGATGTGGCTTTTGTGAACTTAGAGCTCCTTAAGTTCTGGGTGATGTGGGTGTTAGTCACATCCTTCAGGCTCACATCTGGATCATCAAGAGCACACACTGTACCCCATACTCCAGGACATTCAAGCCCAATGCCTTAAACTGAAAACAGGACATCCTGAGATGCAAGCAGGCAGGACCATTACCCTAACTCTCAACAGCCTAGTGATCCATCATCATTGTTCAGTAAAGTGGATCCTTCGGGAAGGACCTTGGCAGTGGTGGCAACATACCTGCAGCCTCGCCCTTCTGATAGCAGTGGTCAGTACTGGCTCAGCCTCTCCTGTTCTGCCCCAGTTTAACCTGCCCTGTCTCTGCTGCAGATGGGGTCCTTCAATCCGTCCTATGACAAGATCTTCAGTCACCTTCAACGTGTAAAGTACAAAGGTGAGGGGTCCTTGCATGCATATTCACTCTCTGCTGGAGAAGGAGGTAGTCAGCCTTGTGTGACTTTGAGAAAAACAAATCAAGGGGAAGGTGCTGCCTTGTGTTCAGCAGGTTATAAGCAGTAGGTCGTTGAGCAGTGTTGTAACCAGGTCCTGGGGTGAGATGACCCTGAGAGGGGCTGGTTCATGTTTCTAGGCTCAGGCACTCTGCTGATCTGCACTTATGCCCCAGGGAGTGAGGCTGACACCATCACCCCTGCAACATGTCTCCCTAGGCCAGGAAGCATTCATCCCGGGATTCAACATTGAAGAGCTGCTTCCGGAGAGGACTGCTGAGTATTACCGCTACCAGGGGTCCCTGACCACACCCCCTTGCAACCCCACTGTGCTCTGGACAGTTTTCCGAAACCCTGTGCAAATTTCCCAGGAGCAGGTAACTGTTGTGCCGGACTCAGCCAGAGTCCACGGAGCACCTCAGTCCCTATCATCGCCCCGTCATAATCAACAACTTGATTTCCTCACTTAACTTCATTGGCAGCTCTTCAAAACTTCTCCAAATATCACAGGTGTCTGAAAGCATTGCAGACATGCCAGGCTGAGCTTCAAAAGAAGTCAAGCTAGGCAAATGAATACGTCTCCTAGCACTTTAAAGAAAGAGCTAAAAGGCCGGGCAGAGTGACTCACACCTGTAATCCCAGCACTTTGGGAGACCGAGGCAGGTGGATCACCCAAGGTCAGGAGTTCAAGACCAGACTGGCCAACCTGATGAAACCCTATCTCTACTAAAAATATAAAAAATAGTTGGACGTGGTGTCAGGCACCTGTAATCTTAGGTACTTGTGGGGGTTGAGGCAGGAGAATCGCTTGAACCCAAGAGGCAGAGGTTGCAGTGAGCTAAGATCGTGCCTTTGCACTCCAGCCTGAGCAATAAGGGCAAAACTCCATCTCAGAAAAAAAACAAA